AACACCTGTTCTTTTTATTTTCCGAGAACCGCTTTTTTTTCGAGCCCCCCCCCCCCCCATAATCTGCTGATTTCCACTGTATCACAGAACATTCTATCTTCTTGAGACTTCATGGCGACTTGCCATAGCACAGTTTTTATTCTTATGAGGAACTCAAGTGCTACTGCAACAGGACAAAAGCATCGACCTGCCCAGGCTGTTGGATGCACTTCCTGGCTCAATATATATATATATTTTTTTCCCTCCAGCTATGTGAACATTGTGACCTTCAAGGCTGCAACGCTTAAGATCTGCTTCAAAGGCCACAGCCGCCAGCCTTTCAATGAAGCCTGCGGTTGTTTTTTGATTGTATATGTAGATGACAACCATGAAGGCCATTTCCTTGGGTGAAGTGAATGCTTTTCTGCAAGCCACGTGTGTTTCTCTTGCTGTTTGTGGTAAACGAGGATGTCAGCAATAAAGGCCTGTCCTTGTGACCACATCCTGCAGCTTCTCATCTCTCTGGTCCTGTAAAGGCCCCTTTAAACTGGGGTGGCCTGTCTAGCTGCCCGCTCACGTTGGGGCTCGCAAGTGCCGCTTTGATTGTTAGCATTTGATTTCCACATCATGTTCACCTGGGCTACAGTCATCCATTCGTGATCTTACATAGGACTGCTTGACTCATTTTTTTTTGTGTGTACCTTGACCCTGGAGGAACTATGTTTCCTTCCACTGTATACTGTGTATATGGCTAAAATGACAAATAAACCTGCTTGACTAGACTTGACTTAAACACTTTAGATGATAGATAGATAGATAGATAGATAGATAGATAGATAGATAGATAGATAGATAGATAGATAGATTGATTGATTGATTGATTTATTGATTATAATTTATTAATCCCGAGAGAAATTTAGGTCTTGACTTGACAGGGTGCAAATAATACAGTATTATGCTATTACTTATGCATTAATTAACCACAAACTCAGTCATAGTTACATACAGATCTCATCTTAATTCACCATTAATGAATTGTGACGCATGTTTTATGTCAATATATTTGTCAGTATGTCTATTAATTCTTTAAACCTTTGTGAACTACTGAAGTCACAGGTGTCTGCTAGAAAGCAGAAGATGAAGAGGAATTTCTCCTTTCAGCTTGACGATGACCCCAAGCATACATCCAAATCAACAAAATGGCTTCACCAGAAGAAAATGAAAGCTTTGGAATGGCCCAGCCAGAGCCCAGACCTAAATCCAACTTACAATCTGCGGAACCACCTGAAGGGGGCAGTGCACAGGAGACGCCCTCGCGATCTGACAGATCTGGAGCTCTTTTGCAAGGAAGAGCAGGCAAACATAGCCAAGTCAAGATGTGGCATGATAGACTCCTACCCAAAAAGACTGAATATAGTTTATGTGTTTTTCCTGTGAATAATTCAGTGCTCAACAGAATTAGGTAACGTTAACCTTATTTAGCCTTTATTTTCTCCCCAATTAGTCATTATAAGATTTTCCATTTTGCTAAGCTGAACCTTTCCTATGCTAATTCATCATTAGCTTTCTTCTAACAAAATGCTGCTGGACAATGCTAACAGCGCTAATCCATCACTGTACTGCGTCACAGCACGGCTGTCTGAATGCCTGGATCCGCGCTTTGAGTGGCGACGGAACAGCCCATCTGTCAGGGACCGAAGGCTCTTTAGCGGCTGAAGCTGCCGTTATCTTCCCTTCCCAGAGGCCCCTGTGCACACCCTCCCCCCCGCCCCCGCCCCAGTGCATTATTATCTTTATCGTTGCATAGAAGGCTTCATCCAGAGTGATTTGTACAGCTCACAGGTTTGCACTTCATCTGTTTGTGTGGTGTGACATTTCCCGAACGTGGCTGACTGGGCCGTACCACAAAAGCGTCACCCGGAGGGACCTGAACCATAAGTTCTTGACCCACCACACTGCTGCACCAGGTTCATCCCGGGTCCGGTCTCTGGGTCTCTTCTGGGTCTCTGCGAGCTTGGGGGCGATGAGAACCAAATGATAAACCAAGGCCCATAATGCCAAAGCTTGGGTGTAATTTGTCACTGGGGCGCAGTTCAAAGGTGAATAGTCCAAACGTGGGCAAAACTGGCCAGCTGGCCCACCCACGTCGAGAACGTTGGCCCATATGCTGTCAGCCTGCGAGCTCCGTTCCCTGGACTGGTCATTTAGCATACCGGGAATTCTCCCAGTGGGTCAATGGGTTTCTGGGTAGAACTTAGCATGGGAGACCCCAAAGGTCAGGGCTGAATTATAATCCCAGTCTAGCCCTGCCCTTCAATACCACTAAGGTGATTCCAGACAATGAAACATGATTCCTTGCACATCCAGGGCCAGCAACCTACAAGATCTGGGTTTTTATTGGTCGGCACCAGTCATGTGATATTCTCTGCCTCTCCATTCTCTAGGTCTGCAAGGAACATTTATACCTAATTCAAATGCGCGTCCACTTTATTAAAGTATTTTTTTTCCTGTAATTTTTGGGTAGAAAAATTGAGAAAAACAGACTACTTAGCGTTTCATAATTTTGTCAAACGCATTACTCTAATTGGAATAGCAGATACCGAATTCCCTCCTAAATTTAGTCTGTTCAAATGCTTGCTTTCAATGACAAACCCTTTTTAATCAGTGCGCTTTTATGTTATTTGAATTATTTATGAAAATGGACTGTTTGCTCCCACTTACGTTAATAAACTGGCTAATTTGTAATGGGCTCTGGTTTCTGGTCTGATCCCCGGTTTTCGGTCCTCTCTCGGGAGATAAATATTCCGCCGGCATCCAGAACACAAGCAAAACTCGCAGGAATTTAAACAATTGAGCATGACTCATGGTGTGGGATTCGGGAGGGAAAGATTCAGCCTGCTTCCCTGCTCATCCCTCAGAGCAACGTAAACATCTTCTCTCTTGTCACTCTCGTGTTGCCTGGAACCGCCTTTAACCTCAAAGCCCAGCAAAGATATGCTATTTCAGATTGCCAGGGATGTTGAAGGACGTTGGGAAACATCTGGAAGCAGAGCAGTGAGCTGGTACTCGCTGCCCATGAGCAGAAACTTGGGAAAAGCTATTTCTTCTTCTCCTGGAAGCCCATACCTCTTCCTTCCCCAGAAGGCTCTCAATATCTTCTCGCCAAACCCTCAACGACACCTTGTGTCCATGACACACTTAGCTACTGTGTCAGCGTGCAATTTGGGGGATTTAAATCCAGGTCAGTCACTCGTCCTTCTCAGTCGCTTTTTTCTGCCTTCCTACATCCCATCCTACTTCAGGACCCCAGTTTGCATCTTTTCAGTTTCCTGTTAAGTTCTAGAAAAGCAGATGGGTTTATGTCTTTATCATGTGAGGTGTGTTTAGCGGTCTGTGCCACTTTACCTTAAGCACGTGATAGATTTTAACATACAAATATAACAACAATAACAACAAGAAAAACACACAGTGACAGAGACCAGCCCCCTGTACTACGAAGCAGGGTTACTGGCTTATCGGGGTAACTTGTCGGATTTAAGGTAGTCTGGGCAAAATTTAAGTCAACGAATATGAAGTCCATTTAAACTGTGGTACCGTAAATCCGACAAGTTACCCCGATAAGCCAGTAATCCCGCTTCGTAGTACAGGCCACCGATGTTTCCTGCTACATGCCGATTTCGCGTTATTTTGGTGTTAAATTAGAACAGAAATAGATATGTGAAAGACTGCAGAATCAATTCCGACCTGAATCCCAGAAAATCAGTTATGCTGCTATTGTGAGGACTGACATCTCCCTACACAGTTTACAAAATGCTTGGTTATATGCATGCAAACAAATAACACAGGTTTATTATTATTATTATTATTATTTTTGTTATAAAGCTTCCTCCAGCAAATTTGTCCCCTTTCATTAACACAGCCAATTTATCCCTCATATTCATGTGTCAGGGCTCTGCATCCTGTCCCCACCGTGATTTCAGCGTAAATATGAATCTCCCCTTTCACACATGACAAGTGGCTGGCTGTGAGTATGAGAGATGCAACCTGGAGCT